TCAAACATTTGTTCAAACTTCTTTCTGTGATGTATAGTAAATAGTATGTTGATCATGTGATACTGTTTACTCAAAATGTGGAGTTGATAGTATGTTGATCATGTGATACTGTTTACTCAAAATATGGAGTTAATAGTATGTGGATCCTGTGATACTGTTTACTCAAAATGTGGAGTTAATAGTATGTGGATCCTGTGATACTGTTTACTCAAAATATAGGGTTAATAGTATGTGGATCCCGCGATACTGTTTACTCAAAATGTGGAGTTAATAGTATGTTGATCATGTGATAATATTTACTCAAAATGTGGAGTTAATATTATGTTGATCCTGTGATAATATTTACTCAAAATGTGGAGTTAATAGTATGTTGATCCTGTGATAATATTTACTCAAAATGTGGAGTTAATAGTATGTTGATACTGTGATAATATTTACTCAAAATGTGGAGTTAATAGTATGTGGATTTCAAAGAACCGTACAGAGCTTTTGACCAATCTTGAACACCGTCATTTTTTTAAAATTCATTCCATCAATAAGAATATTTGATGGTTCAACTGTGTACAGTACTGTATCCGATTCTAAACTGAAAGAACGCCTAAGTTCATTTAGTTTGGGAGTTTCCTTTCCCAAGAAAGGTGATTGGCAGACAAATATATGGTTGTGAACTAGGTGATGGGCAGAAAAAAAATATGGTTGTGAACTAGGTGATCGGCAGACGAACATATGATTGTGAACTAGGTGATTGGCAGACAAATATATGGTTGTGAACTAGATGATTGGCAGACAAACATACGGTTGTGAACTAGGTGATGTGATGACAAATATATGGTTGTGAACTAGGTGATCAGCAGACAAACATATGGTTGTGAACTAGGTGATCGGCAGACAAATATATGGTTGTGAACTAGGTGATCGGCAGACAAACATACGGTTGTGAACTAGGTGATTGGCAGACAAATATATGGTTGTGAACTAGGTGATCGGCGGACAAACATATGGTTGTGAACTAGGTGATTGGCAGACAAATATATGGTTGTGAACTAGGTGATCGGCAGACAAACATATGGTTGTGAACTAGGTGATCGGCAGACAAACATATGGTTGTGAACTAGGTAATCGGCAGACAAATATACAGTTGGGAACTAGGTGATTAGCAGACAAATATACGGTTGTGAACAAGGTAATCGGCAGACAAATATATGGTTGTGAACTAGGTGATTAGCAGACAAATATACTGTTGTGAACAAGGTGATCGGCAGACAAATATATGGTTGTGAACTAGGTGATCGGCAGACAAATATATGGTTGTGAACTAGGTGATCGGCAGACAAATATATGGTTGTGAACTAGGTGATCAACAGACAAATATATTGTTGTGAACTAGGTGATCAACAGACAAATATATTGTTGTGAACTAGGTGATCGACAGACAAACATATGGTTTTGAACTAGGTGATCGACAGACAAATATATGGTTGTGAACTAGGTGATCAACAGACAAATATATTGTTGTGAACTAGGTGATCGACAGACAAACATATGGTTTTGAACTAGGTGATCGACAGACAAATATATGGTTGTGAACTAGGTGATCGGCAGACAAACATACGGTTGTGAACTAGGTGATGTGATGACAAATATATGGTTGTGAACTAGGTGATCAGCAGACAAACATATGGTTGTGAACTAGGTGATCGGCAGACAAATATATGGTTGTGAACTAGGTGATCGGCAGACAAACATACGGTTGTGAACTAGGTGATTGGCAGACAAATATATGGTTGTGAACTAGGTGATCGGCGGACAAACATATGGTTGTGAACTAGGTGATTGGCAGACAAATATATGGTTGTGAACTAGGTGATCGGCAGACAAACATATGGTTGTGAACTAGGTGATCGGCAGACAAACATATGGTTGTGAACTAGGTAATCGGCAGACAAATATACAGTTGGGAACTAGGTGATTAGCAGACAAATATACGGTTGTGAACAAGGTAATCGGCAGACAAATATATGGTTGTGAACTAGGTGATTAGCAGACAAATATACTGTTGTGAACAAGGTGATCGGCAGACAAATATATGGTTGTGAACTAGGTGATCAACAGACAAATATATTGTTGTGAACTAGGTGATCGACAGACAAACATATGGTTTTGAACTAGGTGATCGACAGACAAATATATGGTTGTGAACTAGGTGATCAACAGACAAATATATTGTTGTGAACTAGGTGATCGACAGACAAACATATGGTTGTGAACTAGGTGATCGACAGACAAATATATGGTTGTGAACTAGGTGATCGGCAGACAAACATATGGTTGTGAACTAGGTGATTGGCAGACAAACATATGGTTGTGAACTAGGTGATCGGCAGACAAACATATGGTTGTGAACTAGGTGATTGGCAGACAAACATATGGTTGTGAACTAGGTGATTGGCAGACAAACATATGGTTGTGAACTAGGTGATCGGCGGACAAACATATGGTTGTGAACTAGGAGATTAGCAGACAAACATATGGTTGTGAACTAGGTGATCGGCAGACAAATATATGGTTGTGAACTAAGTGATCGGCAGACAAACATACGGTTGTGAACTAGGTGATTGGCAGACAAATATATGGTTGTGAACTAGGTGATCGGCGGACAAACATATGGTTGTGAACTAGGTGATTAGCAGACAAATATACGGTTGTAAACAAGGTAATCGGCGGATAAATATATTGTTGTGAACAAGGTGATCGGCAGACAAATATATGGTTGTGAACTAGGTGATCGGCAGACAAATATATGGTTGTGAACTAGGTGATCGGCGTACAAAAGTACGGTTGTGAACTAGGTGATCGGCAGACAAATATATGGTTGTGAACTAGGTGATGGGCGGACAAATTTATGTTATGAACTAGGTGATCGGCAGACAAATATATGGTTGTGAACTAGGTGATCGGCAGACAAATATATGGTTGTGAACTAGGTGATCAACAGACAAATATATTGTTGTGAACTAGGTGATCGACAGACAAACATATGGTTTTGAACTAGGTGATCGACAGACAAATATATGGTTGTGAACTAGGTGATCAGCAGACAAATATATGGTTGTGAACTACGTGATCAGCAGAAAAACATATGGTTGTGAACTAGGTGATCAACAGACAAATATATTGTTGTGAACTAGGTGATCGACAGACAAACATATGGTTTTGAACTAGGTGATCGACAGACAAATATATGGTTGTGAACTAGGTGATCAGCAGACAAATATATGGTTGTGAACTAGGTGATTGGCAGACAAACATGTCGTTGTGAACTAGTTGATCGGCGGACAAATATAAGGTTGTGAACTAGGTGATCGGCAGGCAAATATATGGTTGTGAACTAGGTGATGGGCGGACAAATTTATGTTTATGAACTAGGTGATCGGCAGACAAATATATGGTTGTGAACTAGGTGATCGGCAGACAAATATATGGTTGTGAACTAGGTGATCGGTAAACCAAAATACGGTTGTGAACTAGGTGATCGACAGACAAACATATGGTTTTGAACTAGGTGATCGACAGACAAATATATGGTTGTGAACTAGGTGATCAGCAGACAAATATATGGTTGTGAACTAGGTGATCAGCAGAAAAACATATGGTTGTGAATTAGGTGATCGACAGACAAATATACGGTAGTGAACTAGGTGATCAGCAGACAAATATATGGTTGTGAACTAGGTGATTGGCAGACAAACATGTCGTTGTGAACTAGTTGATCGGCGGACAAATATAAGGTTGTGAACTAGGTGATGGGCGGACAAATATATGGTTGTGAACTAGGTGATCGACAGACAAATTTATGTTTGTGAAGTAGGTGATGGGCAGACAAATATATATGGTTGTATATGGTTATGATCACCACCTTTAACTAATACTTGTTTATAACGGCTGTATTGATAGAACGCCTACGAATGTATAACCCCAAATCAATCAACTATCACTTACATATAACATACTTTTTATTGCAGAGAAAACTTTCTTTTTCACTGTTTGCTCTGAACTGAAGATTTCATCTAGAAAACAAATATGCAAAGACGGCACATTATAGACAACATAAATGTCATACGGTCATGCCTAAAGAACTTTCCATTATCATAACTCAATATCTCCTGATTTGCTTAAGGCTGTATGTGTGTACGTAATTCTGTAGCGAAACTCTTCAACGATCACGACGACACAACAGTGTACAGATACATATGTATTACACATACATATCATATGCGTTTATGAGGACTTAAAACAAAAGTTAACACCTTACCAATATTAACTTATGGAATTTTAAAATATGTTTACCAACAGTAAAGAAAATGCGTATTGTCATATTTTATTTTTCATTATTTATTATCAATCTTAATCTTTCCTAATACTTTTATTTACAGCCTTATGTTACAAACGTCCATTGAATAAATGTACATTTAGTTCATACAAACGATAATGAAACAATGGTCTCTTGATAAGGAAAGCATACGAGAATTAAGTTACAAATACATATGACTTCTAAAATGATATTTATCATTATAGAAAAAGAATCTAATGAAACAAGAGACGAAAAAAACCTGTTCTTATTTTTGAGACAATTTCTGTAATTTTCGCACGGTATTTGTCAAAATTTTCTTAACTTTTGGATATGGAGTCCAGACATGTCATGGTTGAATGAATATTCGAACATCACGAAACATAATCAAGGTACAGTTATCATCTGGATCAGAATTGCCATCTAGAGTCACTGACCCGTAAGAACGACCCAACTGTTAGATTTTAGATAACATTTCGTTCACATTAGATCACAACACATATTGAGGATATAGTTTTAACACGTATGACTTTATATCACACTATCAGCTGTGATTTCATTTCCTTTTTTCAGGATGTGAAGTCATGACATTTAGAAAGTGCAGATATCAGGGACGTACTGGGAGATTTTTGAGGATTACTGTAGTGTTGTAATGACTCTATTCTGGACTTTCATTCTAAGTCTTTGTCTATATACAGGATATATATGTACAGAAGAAGACACAAATGATGATGTTGCAAACATTCACAGGTATGTGTACATCTTTAATCAAACATTCCAGTCTCCGAACAATCTAGTTTCTCTTTTCCTTTCTCATTTGGCTTATATCATTATTATATCATTATTTCATGTCATTCTTAGCATTTTCATTTACTTAATAAACATTCTTTTCCCTATTCCAAAACCCACAAAAGACCACACTATTTTATTACAACAAGTTTATTTCAGAAATTTTATGTACCTGGAGCGTTTGTAGCCATCTTTTTTCTTCTCTGTTGCGACCATGTATCAAACTTCTCCCTGATAGAGACTGGAAGTTTAGTTTAAATTTTAAAAAGAAACAAGTGTTATTTCGTGCAGGTTTGTTATCTAAACTTAAGCTGCCATTTACATGGATATTCATGGTATTTAAAAACTAATGTTTTTGCAACAGCAAGATTAAACATTTGGAAAAAATAGAAATGTGCTCTTAAATAGGCATATAAAAGACCAAGTCCATATGATATTCAACAAGATTTGAATTTGGTAGAATTCATGTATATGTGATAGAGTTGAATTTTATTTCATGCTGGATGCTGATACCGAAATGTCTGGTAGTTCTGGTGTTGTTTACCTTATTCTCATTCGGGAACATGACATTACTTATTTCGACTGACCAAAATAAACAAGGAGCGTATCATTGATAAAGCAAAAGACGCTTACCATTCTGGAACACATAATCTTATCATTCTAGTACATTTATAGAAGTTTTTTTTCTGTAAATCTTTTATGTGATATTTCTATATTATCTTAGCTCTGTTTTGGACCAATAACTCCGAAAACCTGTTATATTTACACACATTGGTATAACCATACACAGCAGTAAGTGCAATGTTGCATTTTTCAAATTCAAATTCAAATGATTTCAAAATGGTATATCATTAATATAAAAAAATTGTATTGAAATATTTTTTCGATTCTGGCAATTCGGCTAAGATTCGAAAAGTAGGGTCTGGGATATTGAACAAGATGTGTCTAAGGATGAAACCCTATACTCGGTGCTGTTCTCAGCTATTCTCGGTATTGGTTCACTGTAATCCCAGGATTGAAAAAGTGCCTCTTGCTGAATTATGTTAATTACTGATGTAGGTTCTAGATGGACTGAGTAGGACGGTCGAAGATTTGGATGATTCCTAATGCTAGATATAAATGGCCCAAGCAGTGTTTCATCATAATTTGTTGCCCGGCTTCATTATGATCTGCCGTCATATGTTCATTAAACTGAAGTCAAGATAACATTTTGCGGTCACCGGGTCAAATAGAGCTCTCCAGAGGAGGTTACAAATCTCGACTTACATCCTGTTCAAAATATACATTACTATCAATACACGCCATAAAGAACTGTTGTTAATAGATTAATTTCCCTCTTTTATCATTTATAAAAATACGTTCTTTTTTAAATATAAGCATTGAGTTCATTTCTTCATAATGAATGACATAATACGCTGAAAGTGGAAACATTCTCGAAACAAGAAATGTGATGGATTTTCCTAGAAGATAAAGATATATTAACCTTATATATAGTAAGAGTACACAAAATAAGTGGATCCTGCAATGTCAGATATTTAATTTGTACGTTATGTTGCAGCTCTTGTATTTTACATTACTGATAAATGAGGGCAGTTTTCAAACAGATATATTTATAGCTATGGGAACACTTTAGGGAATTTTTGTTGTCATGTCTCTCGTCAGTTATAGCTCATTAATTCCAGTGAGAACTCAAAAACAAGCAATTACACAACTTATGTAAATGAGCATTGATAATATGTTCAGGAAAGATTGGATTTATTCTGCAACCTTGTATAATAACGGGTGAATGTCCTCGTATCTAATCAATGATTTACAGCATCAGTGTAGGCTCAACTGGATATGAACGCAAATACCTCCTATTGGCGAAAAAAATATTATTAACAACTTATTCAACTAATCAAGATTGCAAACTACATTTCCCATGATACACGTTCGTACAAGATCATAAATATGCATCTTAATCATGTTATAATTAGTGTTCCTATCAACTGCCTAATCAGTGAAATCGATTTCGCATTATCATCTCCATACACTAACATGTCTGCCGTCTTTCAATATATATGTCATTAAATTCATAATATCGTGCTATAGATACATGTATAATGGTTCATCTTTTTTACAAACTTCTGGTTTTTAACGACAATGTATATCTTAATAACCTGTTACCTTGTTTGTCTTTATTTTCATTGGAAGTCAATGCCGAATGGCTTTGATGATGTATCATCAAACCAAATTTTTATCAGCACAAGGCTGAAAGCAATATTTCTACAACCAATAGGCAGTAATTATTCAACTCCCTTGGCATCAATTAAGCGTCAGAACTTTCGTTTACACTTGATAAATAAATCACCAGCATCGTAATTGGTTGAAATGTTGAACTTTTACCTGAAAAGAGGCTTCATGCTCTCATGGAAATTAAGACCCTGCAAAATGAAGGTCGTGTTTTTTTTTTCTTTTTGTTTTTTTATGACATTTTTTTAAAATAATTCCAATGTTATATGAAATCCTATTAATTTCTGTCTTTGAAGACAACAAACCTATTGGTTACATGTTATGATTGACAATAAATTATGATATTTACACCTGTTTCTGAAATTGTCAATTCATTTCACTACAAGTCATGCCAACGTAACACACGTGGGTACAGAATATGGCATTTCATAGTCGAAATAAGTCTTTGATTGCGATAGAAACATGTTTAACACATATAATAGTATATGGTACATCTTTCATCCGCGAAAACACTCACTTAACCTCGGCTTTTTGTAACTTTTTGAAAACTAACTAACTCGAGCGAAGGAAATATCATATGCAACAAACACTTGCGTGTAACTTCTATTACAACAAACAAACAAAAACACTGGCGTGTAACTTCTATTACAACAAACAAACAAAAACACTGGCGTGTAACTTCTATTACAACAAACAAAAACACTGTAACTTCTATTACAACAAACAAAAACACTGGCGTGTAACTTCTATTACAACAAACAAACAAAAACACTGGCATGTAACTTCTATTACAACAAACAAACAAAAACACTGGCATGTAACTTCTATTACAACAAACAAACAAAAACACTGGCGTGTAACTTCTATTACAACAAACAAACAAAAACACTGGCATGTAACTTCTATTACAACAAATTAACAACACAAAGTTTACAGACATGTACAGACATTTTTTTTACTAATTGATAAATAGATGTTAATTGCTTGCATTTTTTTATCATACCTTCACTTGTCCAAAATTTTTATCCTATACTTGTTTTAAAAAAATCTTTCATCAATTTGAGTTAATTACAAAAAAATCATTAAACAATGTTCAATAAACAAACGTAACATAACGTTTTTTTGCTTTTAGTTCACCAGAATGTCAGTGTTCTGAATGGGAAGCGTGGTCTGACTTCAGCGTATGTTCAAAGCACTGTGGCCGTGGGAAGCAAGGGCGAAGCCGAACTCGTCATTGTAATCAAACCGTTGTGCTGACACCAGAAGGAGAAGTGTCCTGTACTCGGAACATGACTCAATATCGATTCTGTAACACTCAGGATTGTGGTACGTAATATTAATCAGAAACAGTCCGATGATAGAACCCTAACTAAATTTGTACTGTATATAATTTCTTTGACGGCACACGTACAAATTAAAGACCAAATAATTTATTAAGAAATAATTCTGATAATAATTACAAATTTAGCGACCACATGAATTAAGCGACTTCCTGTCGTATGTGAGAGTAATTTCCCCGTTAAAAATCCGTAGTCAGTGAAGACTTATCTTTTTCTGTCCCTTCTGATATTGTTTGGGCCTGATAGTGAGTCTTACTCATAAAATCGGCACTGAAATATTTGGTGTAGGTGACTAGACCTAGGGTAGACTGGCTTCCGTCCGAGCCCCTTTGGCGATAATTAGGGGGATTATTCATATCATAAGGAACAGGTTATAATTAACGAAATAAATTCAAGGCAGAAAAATATCATAATAAGATATATTAGTGTTAGACTATATTATAATTTGTCAGCCATAATACATGAATTCAATTTGCATGTTTTTCTCTGAACCTGTATTAAGAGACTAGCTGTCATATGTGACTTTATTTATTGCGTCCCTTTAAAGGTCACATAAAACAGGTATGGCTGTACAGTGCGCTTTCTTTTACCACTATCTCGTGTTGTAGCCTGATTTGTAAATGATGGACAAATTATAGAAAGCTGTCCCCATATCATATATTGTCTTGTATTTCATGTTAGCGTCGTGTCCATGTCATGGCTATCTACCATGCATCTTTCCTTTGTTGATATTGTGTTAGCAGGCCTACATACCTATACACAATATAGGATAAGGCTTTACTTTACAACGGCGATGTAAAAAAAAATTGTTCACTCTAATAAATCTCCTGCTCATTTTCATGAAAATCTTTTTCAATAGAACATATTTACCGGCTTTTAACATGTGAAAATACTTTAAATATATACTGCTTAACTACATGCATGTTTTCCTATCTATTATTATTCCAATAGGATTTTTCCTTTTATCCATATTAGTCAGGGTTGTTATTTTTTCCAACAGGATGTGACATAGTGTGTAGTCCGTGGAGTGAATGGACTAATGGGACATGTTCTGTGTTTTGTGGGGGAGGATCTTTCCCGCGGATAAGAGACCGGAGGTGTCAGGGTAATCAGGGATGTCTTGAACAAGACCACCAACTAACGCCTTGTAATTCACAGCCATGTTCACGTAAGCACGATGTAAATTGTGGAATGTACTCTTATTATTTTTGTTTTATTCAATATTCCAAAGTTATTTGCAATGCTTTTGTAGGTATTTAAGTCCAAACGGTGTTGGTATCGAAGCTAACTTTAAATTTGATGGTTTTTAATCTCTATTCGGAGTAATCTGTACTAAGGTATAGCCGGTCATTTTAGAATGACAAAATGTAAAACTACCTGATCAAATCAGATGTTCTGTCAGGTGTTTATTTGATGGTATGTAGATAAAAGTAAGTACTAAAAAGAGTGATTCGATATTTACACACATTAACAGTTTATTCCTGCAGGAAGTCTTAACACTAAACACATGTCTATTTAAAATGGATTGTATGAGAATAACATCTATTAATTGTTGTGTTTTTATCACTATTTGCTGATTTAACATCTTGTATTTACATGTTAAGTGTCAATGATAAAACACAGTTAACATAGTTTCAGAAAGAACGTAGATCTCAAAGCTAGTTTGTAATCCCGACATGTAATTCATGGTATATTTTTCCAGAATGTTCCTGCGATCAGTGGTCCTCCTGGTCAGGCTATGGTCTTTGCTCCGTCACATGCGGGCAAGGTGTTCAAATCAGAAACCGAAAACGAACCTGTAGGTCTCTTGCTATTGGCCAAAACTGCACGTCTGCAACTATCGAAACAGATACGTCGCCCTGCAACTACGGGATCTGTAAGTGTTCCGATCTGGTTTATTTCGGTTGTTCCTTATAATATATTGGATATAGACCTTAAACAGCGACAATTGAATTTTGTTGTCTTTATATAGGTATACAGGGTAAAGTGCAAACTATTATAACTTTCAATTTATCCGTGGAGGGGAAAGGAACTGTCTTTATGTGGCCTGTTCTTCTTTTCCTTTATCAGTAATTGAGTTTTTCTTGTGTGGATTGTTCTGACCTCACATTCACAAACGTCCTCAGAATATTGTATTTGATAAAAAGAAAGACCTCTTTATGACAAAGGTCGATTCTAGATAACAGGATATCTTACACACATCTATAATCTAAAGAAATTTCATAAAAATATTCTTCGTGTAAAGTTCATTTGGGATTCTACGTTTTATTTTTTTCAGAAATGAACGTTATTAAAGCGATCACTGAGTTTTTAGGTAATCGACAATGTATAATGCTACATTCTTAACTAATACCGCTAAAGCAACAAAGAGCATACCGACATGTCAACAAAATTGTCATCATCCTATTTCAGCACATGAGTATCGTGCCAGTAAGAAAATAGATATAAAGAAAATAGAAATACCATTTTGGAATAGATGATATTTGTTCTATAAAATTCATTCCAGGCTGTGATGAAATATGCTTGCAATGGTCAGTTTGGCGAAACAATTCTTGTTCTGTGACATGTGGCGATGGTACTCTAACTAGATCAAGAACCAGAATATGCCCGTTGCAGTCTTGCGCTGATCACGCAACGGAAGTGGAAAGTTGTAATAGAGGGACCTGTCTTTGTGAGTATATAACACAGTTAACTTTGTTTTTGTCTTGAAATTAAAATTATTTCACTTATACAATTATCAACCTTTTTCAAATTTGTTTAAATAGACAAATTGTATTTCTATAATCAAATGAAAATTAAAACCGAAAAAAGTAATGAAATTTCAAATAAAAAAATTTCTGATGTCTATAATTGAATCATTCCTAATTGAAAATTCTTTGATGATTCGTTGCCAATATATATTTTTTATTATTGCTTGCAATAAATACATATTAAATTGAAAAACGAAATTAGCATATTATGTAAGCTGACCACGGACCATCGATTCCAAACAAGATAAATTGACAGGTATATTCCTAAGACCAGGTTGAAAATTCTTGTCAAAGTAATTCCTAATTTGATTTCATTGACGGCTGGTTATGTACAGAATTCTACGTGGCTTACACTCATGAATATTTTAACAACCAAGGGTTTATTATCGAACCTGTCAGGTTTTCTTTGATCAGTTATCCATATATATAGTTTCTCCTCCATGTTACTTTGTGTAGAACTTAATTTTTTATTTTTGAACAACATCAAACAAAACAATAGGATTGATATAGTGGGTAAAGGTACAAGATAAAGGTAAGGATTGATTTCACATTTCAGGTGACAGTATAGATAAAAATTCCTCTTGTCATATGAAACGCAATATCACCCCTCGCTAATAAATTGTTCCGCTTCGCATAGTATTACTCAGAAACTCAGACTGTGTTTTAAGCTTCTTAAATAAACATCTTATCACAAACGGCTGAAAAGTATTTTTTAAAATTGTCTTAAAACAAAATGAGACTACTGACTGACATTGCCATTAAAATGACTGTCTTACTTCGAGACAAATTCATTTCCACACCAATTTAAGTATATGATGACTTCAACAACGAGAATTTGCACCAAACTTTTGTCTAATAATCAATGTTCATGAATGCAAAGAAATGTATTTATTATAAAGAACATTTATAAACTAGAATTATAGACTGATGACGTCAATGTTTTCAGTCACACGCATCATTAAAAAGAAATAAAGATAAGAAATATATATTAAGATTTCATTGGAGAGCTAACAAGTTCCTGTTCTCTGTTTACTCTGTACCCTACTCAGGCGATAATTAGAATGTTATATCAGCATTCTGTCGTTGATATCAATATTTCGTCCAATTAAGAAATATTTTATGTAGGAATGTTATAATTAGTTTTATTGACTTCAGCATAGGTGTGCCATTTCATTTTGATACTCATATCCTGACAATACTAGTGTATTGATTTTGTGTGGAGGAAATGTTGATTTACGGAATCATCACTGATATCTAGCAACATCCTTTATATTGGTATTACGGATTCCAATATTGTTCGGATATCAAATTATAAACCTCTATTTACATTTTATAATAGTTCCTGATTAACCTGTTGAAACGGCGGAGTGAGGTCGGAATAAACCCACAGACAGATAAAATTGAAATGCAAAAAAAAAAATCCCTGCTTTATCTAAATGACTGATGTAATGGTTTTACTTCTCTTACTTTGTAAATATACGAGCAAAGACAGCTTGGTTTCGTTGATTATATTGTTTTCAATATATAAAAAAAGTAAGTAACGATTTTGTTCAATATTTCACTGACTTCAGCCACTTGTGAAGCGACTTGTAGCCCCTGGGGAAACGTCACAGCCTCGCCTTGTTCGGTAACGTGTGGAGGAGGTTCACGTGTCTACACAAGCATACGTAACTGCACATATCCCGACTGCGTGAGTGAAAACGTTATGGAAGAGAGCTGTAATGTCCATCCATGTCCTAGTAAGTATGTAATCCATTCACTGTCAAATTAGTGATGCTATTTGCTGTTTGAAACCATTTCTCTGGAATTTGTCAATTTTCGAAAGCCAAGAATTTCGGATACGAACGACATTCATTGACAGTTGTCCAAAGTTTTAACTTAAAATTTAATTAGTCATTCTTTATGAAATCAATTACAAGAATGTAGAAATAGTTTAAAGATCTACAAGAATTTTTAAAATGCGAAATAAATGTCGTTGAGTCAGTCTTTCATCTTTGACCCTTTACTGACCATTCACGATTTAAAATTAACACTTGTATGAGGTCCTGGATACGTTTTTGATAGAATAAAATCTTTTTATTCCATTGCCCGTTTTCGTCTTTTTCTTTTTCTTCTTTTTTGAAAGGAAAATGTAGCATCTTCTGCCTACGGTGATTGCCATACCTGTATTGGGTATGGTGTCATCGATCTTACTTACAAAGAATAATGATTTATCAATACAGATGAACATCAGACGTTTTAACAAAATCCCTTTATACTAACTCTATACAAATCAAAGTTTATATTTACCTCTATGTATAGACTACGTTTTATTTTTTTTGATACAGTTGCTTGTAATAAGTCATGCAGTGGCTGGAGTAAATGGCAAGATGGCGGATGTTCTGCTTCCTGTGATGACGGGGTGATGATCCGGATGCGCACGAGGGAGTGCGACATTGCTGGTTATAACACAACAGACAAAAGATCTGTTCCGTGTAGGAACAAAACATGTACAGGTATTTCTTAACTGAACGTGCAGGGATTTTCCATCTTTTCGGCTAATTTCTTTAATAATAAATTAGGTCTTGTAACGATTATGGAGAGTGTCAATTCAGAGCCATTCAGCGATAAGCCTAATATTTATCTGGAGATACTTTGTAGGTACTGCTTGATATGAAAATACAAATCATCAGCTTGCTTATTGATTTGATTTGGTTTGGACGTTTGCTTTACATATCCGCTGTCCTATACTTGTATATGTATATACCAAACAGCCTTGGTATCATAATACACGGTTATTGATTAGACACCGCCTGACGAAGTACTAATATAAGATTAAACCCATCACGTGATACAGATACGTTAGGCTCTTTGACAATGCATTTCAATTGCTTATTAAGCATGCTGCCTGCAGATTAAAGATAGATATTTCTATCAATTATTTCATATTTTCTACCATCGTATTCCAATATCAGCTGCCCGTTTGGATCTATTGACACAATGCTGAAAATAAATGGTCGTTTACGTTGATTTAATTCGAATGTACCTGGTTGGTTTGTTATGGTAAATTGCGTGCTAGAAACTGTATCGATATTTTGTGGCTGCTTTTAAAATCAGAACTAATATCTAATGTAAGACATATTGTCAAGTTTTATCCGTGTAGTTGATTACATGTAATACACGTGCCAGGCCAAAACTAGTCTATCGTTCGTGCGATTTGAAGATATCAATTACTTGAATTATGCTATTTCTAACCAATATGCTTACACACTGTGACATGTTCTGGTGATTTTAGAGGCATAAACATAGTTCTGTTCGTTGATCATGCACAGCTTTTCATTCTTCGTGAATCCTTTAAAGTTTGCAAATTAATCATAATTATTTTTTTGTCAATTTTGTTACACGGATATATCAATGTGGAACACGAATATGTTTTCAATTAGAATATATTCCTGGAAGTAGATAAACTTTTCGCCTTTTTTCTTTCCTTTAGGTACTTGTGATTTGCAATGTAGCTCTTGGTCGGAATGGCAGGAAGGAAACTGTTCCACGAGTTGTAATGAAGGAGTAGTTGTCCGGGCTAGATACCGAGCATGTCCGGAAAATGCTGCAGACTGCCGTCAAAAACATGAAGTTGAATCACCATGTTACCTTAAAACGTGTCCTGGTGAGAATTGTTCTGTTGATATTGTCCTATAGGTCTGGAATTAAAACTACTGTCTTCTAATGCAGGTGCCCAAAACCGGCTGTTTTTCTTCTGTGCCTTTAGTTAGTTAGTTTCACACGTGCACGTCGTTTTTTTTCCCGAATTTCCCACCAGTGTATTAATTGACAATAAGCTAACAGTGTAATTTGACAGTTAAATTCACAACAAAGTAAGAAAACAAATGTCGATCTTTGTTAAAGGCTTTTCAATGAAATCCATGCCATAGTTTTTTTCTGTGGAAAACAATATAAAGATTCTAATATGTCTATATTTTCGCTTTTATTCACCGGGTCATTCTATATAGTTTACTATTTTCACCCCTGTATGCTCTCCTCATTAGCATAAAGACAATATTTTCGCAATCTACCGCATTGTAACTACTCTAATTTCTTTTTCAGTTTTACCTTTATTTACCTTTGACATCAGTTAAATGTAGCAATGCCGTCGTCTCTATAACACTAACAACAGTTTTCACTTTTCATCTTTGGTTAATTTAAATTTGGATGACGACTCATGTTAAAACTTTTCTTAATTGTCTGTTATATAGACACTTGTAACGTCAACTGCAGTCAATGGGGTGACTGGAAGTCAAGCCACTGTTCTACAAGCTGTGATACCGGAAATCTTATTAAAAAGCGTTTCCGGAAATGTCCGCTGAAAATCATGGATTGTGTCCATTCAGAAGAAGAGCCGTCCTCCTGTCATTTACGAACATGTCCAGGTAGGAAACATGATTATTTCTAAATAGAGATATAGACTTATAAAAGTACAGAGTTCATCGAGTTTAGTGTTTATTAACAACAAATAAAAAATCAAAGACAGGAAAATCTAAAATATGCGTGTTATGATCGATAAATAATCTCCACTAGACGATCTTCTGGTGCATAACATCTCGGCCATGAAATTGAAGAACCACAAAATCATACTCCTTTCGCAAATTTACAGACACCAGCTACAAGCATCTAATAATATAACTCCGCCGTATGCTACCACCGTGGACTTGTAAGATAAATGGAGTGTGTGCGTAATAAAAACATCAAGAAAATACCAACATGGCAACATTATCATGATTCAAACTCAAATTCCATAAAACTAGGGCAAAATATGAACAAAAGGAAGATTTACACGGAGATTCCTGAAAAGGTAAAAGGAGAATAAGACCAGGTCTTCCGGAAGATTAAGCGTCTATTACTTCATCGACGACATCCGCCTTGTAAACATTGGTCGTTCTCAGGGAAAAAATTCTTTAATTGAAAATAAAAAAAAAAAAAAAAAAAAGAAAATTCATAAAGTGTTATTTAGCTGAAAGAGACAGGTGTCCTCATTATTACGGTAATATTGTTATAATGTAATCAACAAGTTCAAATTTACTCGCTGTCCATTCTGTATTATAAACGTATATCAATAATATATCAAAATATAAATGCACTCTCTTCACACGTAATGTTTAATATATACACCGTCTAAGCCTTGGGTTATGATGCAGAAATCATGGCGTTAACCTCAATAGTAACTTGTAATTAAAGCAGCACATCGTTTTCGTAATTACTAAGTAATGTGCTATAAAGTGATCGCTTTATCTTACGTAAATTAGTTTTGATGTTCATATATGGGATTTTCAGTAACCATAGTTGTCTGGTTACGTATAGTTTCTTTATCAGAGAAATTATACCAATATCTATATATATTTCTCAAACAAATCAACATTACTGTAGAGTGATTTTCGATATAACTATTTGCTCCTTTATAGTGACTTGTGATCGCTTATGTAGCCCATGGGGGCAGTGGATGGGCGTGGTCTGCTCGACCACGTGTGACGATGGCGTTATCACGCGCACCAGAGTTCGAACGTGTCGGTTCCAGAACAAAGACTGCGGAATGTATGAGAACTTGACCGCGCCTTGTAACATGGGCACGTGTCCAGGTATGTGCAATATCGTCATGTCTGACATAACTTAACAAATTGAACTCTAAATTCATCTTTCTTCCTGTTAGCATCAGTTTTCTTACAACAACCATTATTACCTGTTCATATAATCAAATAGATGTCATTATCAGCGATATTTAACGTTAATTCACGAAATATGACTGTACGATAAATGCACCTCCCCATAAAATTGTGATTCTGATTTCTGTTGATTTTTGGCACAAGCGCATTTCGTTAATGTTATTTGTCGCTACCTTAAAAAATGCTATATTACTTTCACAACAGTGAGCCTTGGAAGTGACCTTGATAATTGTTACTTTCATTCGCAAAAACGTCAGGCGTAAATTACTATAGTCACTTTCACCTATCAGAATACTTTTTTCTCATAACTACTTTTATTTGGTAAAATGTACAAAATCAACAGACAGCCTGTTATATCGATCGTATCAATTGTTTTCTGCTTTTATGATTACCCACAAACTGAAAGCCGATAATTTCATTGTTTTCGCTTTTCTCGCTACGCTCGTCCATTGACCTAAAATAATATATTTTTTTAATTTTCTGGTTCGTCGCAACCTAAAAAATGAAAATAAAAAAATATATATGTCAATAAGGAAGTAAAAATAATTCCAATCTGTTAGTAGATATATAAAATTTATTCAGAGGAGAGACGAAGTTTGCGATCTTATCATAGTTATAGACCAGACTGCTATGAGCTCTTGCCAATAATTTTGATGGAGATATGGTTATCCTTTCCCATTGGTTCCTGGACCGGATCTGGAGACGGTGTATATGGTTTCTCCCTTGTCGGTTATATATGAAAAAGTTTTGATGGTAGCATTGAGTCATTCATCCTTAAAAGAAATGTTTGTGCATTGGTTAATGCTTAGACTCTTTTTCTATTTTGGTATTCTTCTTAAAAATGTCTTACTATAGGAACTGCTATGTTTGTTAAAGCACCTACACGAATAATATTGTTTGTTCTTTGAAAATTAAGCATTTGGGTGATATAAAATATTTTATTCTCCATTTAATTCAATGAACCAAAATCACACCCACAAGAAAAGGAGGTTATTCACCTGTCTGTATTTTGTACCATTCCTTAAAGTCATACGTTATAAATTTTCACCCTCAATATCGTTAATTTTAGACACTTGTGATAGCAACTGTACAGCATGGAGCCCGTGGATGAAGGTGGGGGCGTGTTCGCGATCTTGTGGGTCCGGGCTCCAAACTCTCCAAAGAGTGCGGTCATGTGGAAAGTCGGACTGTTCAGCACTCGAGTCGACCCAACAGCATTGTATGGAGGGAATATGTATAGGTAAGTGTGTAAGTGCATGTTTCAGAAACAAACATATGTCAGTATACTAAATGCTGAAAGTGGATATTTAAAAAGGGCTCAAGAGAGAGAGAAACAGAGAGAGAGAGAGAGAGAGAGAGAGAGAGAGAGAGAGAGAGAGAGAGAGAGAGAGAGAGAGAGAGAGAGAGAGAGAGAGAGAGAGAGAGAGAGAGAGAGAGAGAGAGAGAGAGAGAGAGAGAGAGAGAGAGAGAGAGAGAGAGAGAGAGAGAGAGAGAGAGAGAGAGAGAGAGAGAGAGAGAGAGAGAGAGAGAGAGAGAGAGAGAGAGAGAGAGAGAGAGAGAGAGAGAGAGAGAGAGAGAGAGAGAGAGAGAGAGAGAGAGAGAGAGAGAGAGAGAGAGAGAGAGAGAGAGAGAGAGAGAGAGAGAGAGAGAGAGAGAGAGAGAGAGAGAGAGAGAGAGAGAGAGAGAGAGAGAGAGAGAGAGAGAGAGAGAGAGAGAGAGAGAGAGAGAGAGAGAGAGAGAGAGAGAGAGAGAGAGAGAGAGAGAGAGAGAGAGAGAGAGAGAGAGAGAGAGAGAGAGAGAGAGAGAGAGAGAGAGAGAGAGAGAGAGAGAGAGAGAGAGAGAGAGAGAGAGAGAGAGAGAGAGAGAGAGAGAGAGAGAGAGAGAGAGAGAAGAGAGTTTTCAGAGAGAGAGAGATTCCGTCATGTCATTAAGAATTGTTGTATACAGGATTAAAGGTATTGTCATTGCACAAGTAAATTTATGGACATTATACACTTGTCATGTAACTGTGACAGTATATGGAGGGATTATATAGAGGCAAGGATGTATGGTTACTGTATTATACGTCCCTGATAAAGATAATTGTAGTACTATACATACTGATTATCTAAGACTCATTATAACATTACATATCGATGGCATAACGCCCAGTGACAGTTTCTAGGGGATTTTATAATGTAATTATAACAGTATATATAAAAGGTGATATAGATATTATTGTGACAATATGAAAAAGGGTTATCTACAGGTCATTATGGCAGTATAAAGAGGCATTATCTACAGGTCATTATGGCAGTATAAAGATGCATTATCTACAGGTCATTGTGGCAGTATAAAGAGGCATTATCTACAGGTCATTATGGCAGTATAAAGAGGCATTATCTACAGGTCATTGTGGCAGTATAAAGAGGCATTATCTACAGGTCATTATGGCAGTATAAAGAGGCATTATCTACAGGTCATTATGGCAGTATAAAGATGCATTATCTACAGGTCATTGTGGCAGTATAAAAAGGCATTATCTACAGGTCATTGTGGCAGTATAAAGAGGCATTATCTACAGGTCATTGTGGCAGTATAAAGAGGCATTATCTACAGGTCTTTGTGGCAGTATAAAGAGGCATTATCTACAGGTCATTGTGGCAGTATAAAGAGGCATTATCTACAGGTCATTGTGGCAGTATAAAGAGGCATTATCTACAGGTCTTTGTGGCAGTATAAAAATGGATTATACATACGCCGTTGTGTATATTATGATTGACTGCTACAGGAAGTATGATAATATATATGTTTAAATTAACATTCCATAGATCGTTATAACGTTAATGAGCTTGTTGCGAATCGATTCGAGGATAAATAATTTCCTATATGACGAAAATGACTGCATGACTTAGCAAATTAATTGATATGTTTTATTAACACGTTTTAATATTTTCTGGATATTTTATTATTTCAAAGTCATGTCATTGCTTTCGGACGTATTCATATATTTTTTTTAACTTTGTAAGGCATTACATGTGCTTTATATTAGAGATACAAATAAATTTATAATTAAATGCTGTAATATATTCATATCTCAGATAAAATAAAGGACATCCGCCCTGTTTGTGAGTCTTCCGGAATGTTCTACCCCCATCCGACCGACTGTAGCAAGTTTTTCCATTGTATATGGACAATACCAGTGGAGCTGCAGTGTCCGTATGGTACAGGCTGGGTCCAGGAGAGGGGAGTATGTGATTATAAATGGAGGATACCGAAATGTCTATGACATTATCCGGAGATGCAATAATTAGTTCTCTCGATTAGGTCCAGAATAGAAACCAAATTCTCAGAAATCGTGTGAAGAATCAAAACCATTATCAGCTGAAAAATACCCAACTGATGCTGATTTTCAGGAAAACAGGAGTTATACCTCTTGGCTGGGTCCAAGAGAGAAACCAGATTGTCCATGGATACGATAGTTAACGCTCTCTTGCTTTGGTCCAAGAAACGATAGTTTGTAATTGTAGATGTACAGTATTCAATAACAAATTGTTACATATTATCCTGAAACACAACAGTTATTCCCCTTGGATTGATCCAGCAGAGTTGTGAGTCCGATTTTATCTTTCTTGTTATTTCTCATTTTTTATTCACGAAAATCAAAATGAATTGAGATGGATCCCGTATACAGATCGTTGTGTCCCACCATCGTTTTCGTAGTGAATGGATAATTACTTACCTTTCCCTTTTAACCAATCCATTCGTTCTTTTATAGACATCCATACAGACATCGCGAACATATTCACATGTCCGATATAAACACATCCTTTTGTCCTTTATCACACTTCTATGTGTTTCTAAGTAACATTCACACATTAGCATTGTTTATATACGGAACTCAAATACGTTTAATTCTTCCTAAACATGACCATATAGATAAATATAGACAACGTACCTCTCGTGAGCACGTCCGTACACTCCTTGTCAAAACTTCTTGTAATTACATAATTGTCTATACTCCAGGGGTTACGATCACTTTTACTCTCTGCACCATAGATGCGACACCTTGTGGATCATTTGATTTACAACAAATGAAATTCGGGGTCGCATAACTTTATGTTGCACTGGCGTTCGATTTTGGTGTAGTTTGTGATTGGTCGGTTTTTCTCCTTGTACCCGCTCTAGACCAATCAAATTACGTCGCTTTTGCCTTCAAATACGCCATGAAATGTTCCAAGGGTGCAGAGAGCGATAGTGAACGTAACCCCTGTAGTATCGAAAATGTAATTACATAGACTCTAACAATTGACGTCTGTATACCCCGTGGGAACACGTCAACATACCCTGCATAAACACGTTGTTATACTCCGTGTGAACACGTCCGTGCACCCCTTATGGACATGTCCATGCATTCCTTGTGAACACATATCGTAAACCTCTCGAAAACATGTCCTTTCGCCCCTTTTGAACAATTCCATATACCCCTTGTGAACGCACTTATATTGTATATTGTATTTATTTCTGTACGAAAATCCTGAACATTTTATGTTTAACATGTTGTTACAATACTTAGCCATGATCCATACCATTGAAGGGGAAGCAACTCTATGTTTGTCTGGTGAAGAATTATGCAACAGTGTCTTTGAGCATGCGTAAATTATGTATGAATTGCTTTCACTTTAAGTTTTAAATATACATATTAATTTTTGATACATAATTTTATGTGAATGGAAATCCTATTTCGTACTTTTTACTTGTAATTTTTGAATGTATGAATCATTATGAATATATCAGTGATGTACTGTCGCTATTTCTTAACCAGACATCAGAATTACCTTTCCCAGCATTTGATAAATAATATCTACATTGTTGTATATATCATTGATGTCGTATTTTGTGACTGTGGTTTGATGCTTCGGTAAATATTTCTGTTGCATCTGAATGGAACAAAAGAGAAAATACTGCTTCGATTTTCATAGATAAGTTAAACAAAACGTCCACATTCAATTTTTTTTTCTCCATGTTTTTTGTTTACATTAAGTGCTACGTGCTCGCACAAACATGTATTCTCGAGCAGTCCAATCAATCAATAAACAGTTGTAAAATACTTTATAATTTGGAAAATGAAATCGTGAAAAGTTAAAGGATAGTTAGGGTCTGCGGCTTAATGTATTGCATTTGTTTATCAATGTAGTATTTTAAAAAGTTTTTTTTTTTCAAGATTAAAAAATCTAATCTCGAAAATAATTACTCATTATTCTTTGAACTTGATTGATGGAGCGGCGACCTTCTGTGACAATATGGTACAAATAGTACACTACTCAGTAAACCCAGCGAAATATTTATTACATGTAGAAAAATGTATCTATAGCTCGTTTATCAATATGTGTACATAATTCTGTATAAATATTGTATATGAAGTTACATGTTCACGGCTGAGAAATCCACAAATGACTCATTTTAATGAGAAATGTAAATATCAACAAATATTTTAACTTAATATAATTATTCCCTGTATTATATTTGTATATCACATCCGTGTCTAACTATCTAGGTTTATAAAAATAACAGACCATTTTTATTGGGTTTTTTTTTAAATGACACATATTTGCTTTATCTAATAAAAATTCAAAAGTCATCCAAGAATTTGAATTATCTTTCACTGGTACTATGAAACAACTACAAAATAAGTTAACAAAACCCCTTTACCAGCAACAAATAACGGATACCATTTCATATTAATTCATGATACAAAAATTAATATCTGATTAGAATGTTAGACATAAACAGAGCCTTACCCCATGTTTGACAATAAAATCCAATAGATGACAGAACATATCACAGTGTTTGTGAAACTATTAGACGACGTATTAACATAATATCATCTAAAGCCTTTATACATTCTTCCATTTACATCCATGTCAAATTACGAAGATTTTACCAAGAAGAGTTCAGCTATTTAAATTTGGAAACTTATGGCAATATTGAAGAGAAATACGCCAGTAGATGACAAACCTATTGATGGTCACGATACCAGATGGCTACCTTACTACAATAACGATTATCGTTCATGTTTTGAAAGAACTGCGACAGATGACCAATACACCTTAACCAGATATATCCTCCCCAAAAGTATTTCTCCAATAATAATCTAGTTAAGTATCATCCTTCCAACATCAGTCTCTCATTACTTAAGAATCGAAATAATCTTTATCACATACAACCTAGAACGAAGAGTATCAACTCTGGGAATCATCTTCTGTTCTCTGAGATATGGCACACTATGAAAAGATAGTAGGAGGAATCCTCATTCTTTTAAGAACACGGATGATTTCTTTTTCGTCTCTCATTATCCTTTCTAAGGCATTTTTCATTATTGAAAATTGTTGAGGGGAAATATGTCCCCAGAGATTGAACTCATTCTCAAAAAAGTGAGGCAGGTTTTTACTTCTAATAAAACTTAGGAGCCTGAGCAGGATGTTCCGCACGCACTCGTCGATAGAAAAGCGTTGCCAGCGTGGTGTATTATCCACTTGGAAGTCTATGTCGTGAAGCAGCACAGTTTTGATATGGTAAGGAGTGATGGAGCGGAGTTTCCACTCCTTCTGACACATGTTGGAGACGAGTTTCGCTGCCATTAACCGTTGGTTTTTGTCACCCGAAGTAATAGCTTTTAGAATCACTTCTTCATTTGGTGCAAAACTGATTCTCCATCGAATGTCTGAACTGCCATTTTCGTCATTCTCGTGCGGTTTTGCCACGAAAAACGGACCCCCTCCGTTTGAGGCAGTAATGGTGGGTATGAGTTCTATTTCGTTTCCGTTTTTAAGAGTCATAAGCAAGAATCGATTGTCTTCTTCCTCAATTAAACTGATATCCGGAACTTCTATTATCTCCACTGGCTTTGGCTGCCTCTTCGGTTTGTCTATTGGTGGCTTGGCAGCTGGTTCAGGCTTTTTCTCTTCTGTAGGTTGTGGTACCAGTATAACTGTTACCTCCGACGGGGGTCGGCGGAGCTCTGATGTCGAAGTTCGTCGACTTGAACGTGATTCTAAGGAGAAGGGCACTTGCAACAAAGTCAAGTCGGACATTGGACGGCTTTTGTCCGATATGAAACTAGCATCAGATCGTTTTCTTGTACGCATTGCTTCAGCTCTATGAATGCTTTCGCTTGTTAACTGGGGGAGGATCCCTTGAGATGGACCGTGTGTAGCGCCATTAACGGCGCCGTTCGGAGGTTCAATGGTAGTTGTTGTGGCAGTTTGATTGGTCAAGGTGCTCGTCCGACTCGCCGACCTTTCTGACTTTTGACGGCTGATGTTTGTGCGAATGCTAGTTCTACTCGGAATTTCCTTCCTTTGATTGTCAGGATCATCATCTGATGATTTATACGCCGCACTTGCGTCGGACTTTTTACGACTGCGCTTCGATTCAGTCCGCCGACTTGGACTTGCGTCTGTTCTAACAGTAGCATCTGATCGTCGACTAAGTCGGCTTCTCGCTTTCTCCTTTTCAACAATTGTTCGCAATTTATCCAATCCAGTTTCTAACACTTGGAATAAGGCAAGGTACATTTTCTTTGGACACAAATGCTGCTTGTCCTCTGACCGAACGTCCAGGTTATATACTTTTATACTTTTTGGCGTTACTTTTGGCATAGGAAATACAACATAGCCTGGTTCCAGCTCTTTCCCCGTGATTTTACCGACCTTCATTGTCAAAAGATAGCAAGGACATTCAGGCTTGTAAGGTTTCCACGCCGAAATATCCCCAGCGTATATTGGCATATCCTTTAGTTCTAGGCCAAACTGATTGTTCTTAATGTGAGGAATGATGTGTTTAAAACATGCTGAGAAGGCTTCTTTGGTTGAGGCAGCTGGTGCTTTATATTCTTCCTGTACTTTATGCATCGTTGTGTCAATCTCATCCCTGAGTTTAGAGCTAGGAAGTTGTTGTGTAGCTTGTCGGTACAGCGAAGGGAGGTAGCCATGTTTGCTCTGAAACGGATCCTCCATGGTTGTGGTGTCCCTTGTGCAAAAGTGTCCTAGGAATAGGAGGACTATAGTCCCTTGTTTCTTGTGAAATTTACATCTCCGTGTTCGTCTGTTCGATCTGCAATAAAAGGAAGTAAAAAATGATTAAATGTTTATTGCTACAGCACCATAGATTATGGAAATAAACTTATGAACATTGGATATTTTTGGTTCCTTTGCATAATTTGGAAGCACAAAGTTTACCAAGAGCCAACTTAATCTATGAATCAGAAATTAACTATTGGGGGCCTAAATGTTCATTTCATTATTTTGTAATATATTTCAAGAGACCTCCACCATTTCCCTGATATTTCTTCAGGTAATTAGCTCATAATGATAAGAGTTGAGTTGAATATTAACACTTTCGTCACCGTTTGTTTCATTAGATAGGACATCAAGCGCGAATCCACATCCTCAATTTCAAACAAAATAACATAGTTATGTTGTTCACGTTTTTTAAATGTATCCAAAGGTGAAATGTCCTACCTATAAAGTTATTCGAGATTGTAAATAAATAGCGTGTGCCACACTCTCAGTGGACATGTTAGTGTAAGAATGTTCCGTTGTCAGGACTGACATGCCGACAGAATCTAACACGATAAAGAAATTGATTATCAAGGATTTACTTTCAATAAAATAACTTGTCACTCAGTAGGTAGGACTGTATTGGTGTTTTCATTACACGCATGGTTCGGCATTGTCCATGGATGTTACTGCTTACAAGATTTATGAATAGTGTAACGCCCCTCTCACTACTGAAAGTCGATAAGTAGAAGGACGTAATCCTCCCTTGTACGACTCAGACTGGCCCTTATCTAGAGTAACATAAACATGTATGGTGATGGTTAACTTCTATGCCATGGCCTATTTACATCATTCCTTTCATCAATTTATAGATACTGAAAATGAAATGATAGAGAGTTTCATATTAATATGAAGTGATAAGGTTCATGATATTTATGATATTAATCACACTCACAAGTGTTCGCAGACTGGTTTATAAGTTACTTTAGTCATTAACGATATAATAACAATAAAATCTACAATATCTTAACATTTAGTAGCTTAAACTGATCATAAAGTTTATGGAATACGCGATTAGCAATAAACATCGACACTGGTATGATCATAGATACACAAATAAACAATAATTACTCATCTCATTTGACGACATTTACAAAGACACTGGTATGATGGTAGTCATACCAATATACAATGATTACTCATCTCTGATTTGACGACATTTGCATGAAGAACATTACGCACATTCACCTTCTAAAACTTTAACTTTCTCTTAACAGCGAGTAGTTATATGTTCCTAAATGTAAAAGAAGGGGATTTTTAATACATTTAACATATGTTACCGTTTTATACAAACGTGACATTACGAAGACAGTCGTTCAAGTCTAAATATCCAATGTTTGCTGTAAATAATTCATAATACATTAAACCGAATTTCACCTAATTTGATGACAGAATATAACTATGCTATAATTATCGTTAAATGATAGCGACACCCACTCGAGCAATATGACATAAAAATATGTATTTCAAGCTCTTTTAGACAACGGAGAACTTGTTTATATTAAAATTGATAAATACTTCACATGATAAAATAAGGACCGAATCACATAGCCACAATTCTCAAGCACTTCATATTTCTATGGTAAATATCTTAAACCTGTACACAAACAATGGCTGGCCATTGTCATAAGGCAGTGGGCTTGTAAGTTCATGTGTGTTTGATTAAGACAAAGGAGCTATTACCCAGATGATATCAATGTCTGACGCCGTGAGGGTCTTTACGGGTGTACCAAATGTGGATGAAACTTGAACTGGAACACCGGTAGTTTTCACGATATCTTAATTTGTAATTTAGTAATTTCTCTGCCATAAAACAACTGTATCAACAACATACGAAATGTAAGCTTATTAGTGTTACTATAACTATTATATCTAATGATAGCTGACATGACAATTGAAATGAATAACATACACTCAGGGATAAATCTTTTTTAATATTCCGAATGTAGCATGCACGTGTTTTTATCGACTGAAATTATTCGACAAATAGGAGTATTTATTGAATAAATCACATTTATTGAATATGTTTAACTTTGACAAGTTTTATAATAACAATGATAGTCGGTAAAGACCGGAGGTGAAATAGAGAACATTACAAAAATCAAACATACCGTAAATAAGAACTGTACAGTATAAGTTACTGAAAGGCACAGGGCTAGCAGAATATTTCTTGTCTTTTTCTAAATTATTATGATATACTTGATAACTTTAAACACTTTATCATAACTGTTTAACGGGATACAATAACCGAATCATAAATTCAAGAGAATCTCATAATAATAACCCCAATGTAAAAAAAGATCTTCATTTCCTTCAGATACATTCTAACTATCAGGACCCCCGAAATGGCAAAACTCTGTAACACATTATATGGTGTTACACACCAGATACAAGGACACAGCTACCATTTGACAGCCTCGATCGTACTGGACGGTCGTGATAAGAAGGCGAGATATACAAATATATAAGTCCGCACTTCCTTTGTTGGAGCCCGACAATCACCAGCTTGTGATATCGGACAGATTTCTGCTTGGGTACCCCTATTCTTATGAATCTTAACCTTAGGCTTTGTGTTATGATCACATGTGGGGTGAATTCGTATCTAAGGCTCCGGTCACTTCTGTATGTTGTTAAGGGGCACGTGCTTCATTCTCAACACCTTCTCTTTGGAACTAGCCCCCCGTGTTCAAGTGATTGTTTCAGCAGAACAATTAGTGTATTATTTAGAATCCACGTCTTTGTGTAGCGTTTAAAGCAAAGTTTTATATGTTGTATTTGTCCAGTGCCAAATTTCTGTCAGCACATCAGAAGATATCAGTACCTAGAATTCTTTATTAGTTAAATATATATAATTAAACAGAATAGTATACATTCATTAGAGGACGTAAACTCATATGTTATATGCTATCAAGGAATTCTGTTGAAATGTATCAACTTACCTCGGTATATCTGAGATGTTGGTTAAAATGTTCAAAACAATCATAATAATACGTGCATATTTCTTATCTTAAATAAAAAGATATCCGGATTATATACGAATAACCGATATTCTTATTATGTGTCGAACATTTGGTGCTGCTTATAACCGGACAATTTGAGGAGATATGCTTTTGAGTAATATTGAGCAAAACAACTGATACAAAATGATATGAACGTTATATTTTTTTCAAAACATTTTACATAGCATATCTGTGGTTTAAACCATTTATTTCATATATGGACACCAGCAGGTGTATGGAACACTTTATAATTATTTCTATCATTAACATATCGTAATTGTATTATTAATATACCGGTTAATAAAGATATAGTTGTAATGTTTGATTGATATTAAGATGATTTATATATCTATATTACTAAACTGATGTAACTCCGTATTCAGAATGATCGTGTTGTAATTCATCTCACCACTACTATCTAGTTGGACACGTAAGAAATGGAATATACGTACTATCAAATGTAAGTTAACAAGATCTTTTCATGAAGTGTAAAAATACAGTGATTTTTACGTGATTTTCAAGACACGTCTGATTCCACGGACGACTTTTCCAGAAAGTCGGTTTAACAAAAACTTTATACGGTTTACTCATTTTTGGGGTGAATGAAAACCATTAAATGAACTAGTAGCTTTAAACTTATTGATAAAAACCTTAGAGTCCAAGAGGGACGAAACCGCTGTTTTATGCACTATCTAGCTTTACTCTGTCTAATTATTTATAAATATTGAATATTACGCAGTCATTCACTTTTGTACAAGGATTATCCTTGCCTGGATTTACCAAGATTTAGTTGGTGGTTGTGGCCGATGAAGCAGAAGACGCGTATCCTTCTGTAATACATATTTTTATTCTCTCCTTTTTCAACGTTCTGTGTACAAATATTCCTTTTGGTTACACACATTAAGCACTCAGCGATTCTAATTTAAATTGAGATTGGAAAATTGGTATTTTCATTTTTTATTTTAATCTACAGATTAATACTAACATTATGTAAAATGCTACCCTGAAGAACTCATCAATCTTTCATTGTATTTTCTCCATTAACATTCACAGTTTATTTAAAGTGTTATGGATACATCACCTATCACGAGCTCTGTTGTTTTCATGAAGTTCTGTAAATTTGATTTTAGACCTTCATGAAATAATCTCTTATTTGATTATAATGACGTTCTGTAAAAAATTGTTATATTTTCAATTAAAGGTTAATTTAGATATTCATCTGACATGTTATACACGAACTTTGTGAAAAGAACTGACATTTCAATTTGCCATAAATTAAATTGCTGGTATTTAAATTTATTTATTTTAATACGAAATGAGGCGTGACATGTGACGATCGATAAGCTTGATTAATAAGACACTGTTACCTTTTATTTTGGTGTCGTGAGGTACACCTATTGTGGTTGGCGTAAACAATATGTTTACATTAGAAAGGGCGTGATATTCATATACCTCATAATGAACTTTTGTTTACTGTATGGAGTTAACACGGCAGGTAAAAATGTTTAAATCCCAAATTAAGTTAACTATCACGGCGTGTTTGTTTAATAAAATGTCATCTAGGTAATATCTCATGTAGAGTAAATTTATAGTGGAGACAATGGATGGATACTGTTGATAGAAAGCATTTAGATTAGCTTCATCGTTTTACCAACATTGAATATGAGATTTTATTTATTTCATTTTTCTTTTCAATTTTTATTTCAAATTTGATTTAAGTTTGTAATAGACGTCTGATACCGATCAGTAACAGTTGATTGTAAAAGAACGATGAGACAGGTAAAAAGGCATCGTGAGACAACCAATAATATGTGCATCATTTTGTATGCTGTGTTGTTTACACTGAAAATAACTATATTGATTTCATTCGTGTTTCGTATTTAATTTTTCAGCAATTAG